TCAGGTTCTGGTCTTGGGGCACCTCCTTTCCAGTCTTTCTATTCTTGTCCTCCATCACTCAGACTAATCAACATCCATAAATACGTTTGCGCTTCCCTGTAAGTTAGTTGTCCCATAAATATTACACAGTTTTCCATTAAAACATTTTCAGGTCCTCACACTAGGTAACCCTCACACTATGTAACCTATTTTCAAAATGCTTTCCAGACATTATTTGTGGTCATCCCTCAAGAACCACAATAAGTCTCTACGTTTACAACGGACATAAATAAAATTCCTGATATTAGCAATTTAAGATGGCAACATTTCACAGTGATTTTACATCCACATCCCCTACGCGTGGATGTCCCCTGAAGTAATTTAGCACACTGTCCCAGATAATTTTTGTACAGTAACAAGAATAGGGGTGTGTTGTTCTGCAGGCCTCCCCCCAATAGGGGGCACTCTAAGCCAAACTAAGTGGGTCTAATAGCCACCATCAGCACCTGACTGACACTCACCAGTTTCAGCCTAAATGGTGCAAAACCATCATCCATCTGGCAGTCCTCCCAACCACTCTGAAAGGGTGGGATTTGGCACAGAATACAAGAATTCCTAGACCGACATTCAGTGCCAAAGTGTTTTTCTAATTATATCCTGGAACAAGCTACATTTGCAACAACACTTTCTCCTAAGAGATCCTCCAGTCCTCTAATCCCTTGTACCTAAAAGGAGGGAACCCGTCAGTTCCTTTCTCTCTCACAGACCTTTAAGGGCAAAGAGGAGGAGGCCTGGTAAGACCACAGTCATGTTCCCGCTGCTGAGGACCATCAAGTCAGTCCTCAGTGGTCACAGGAGAAAACAAAAGAGAGAGAGGCCAAGGTAGTGTAGGGGGTCCTCACAATCTGCAAGAAGCTACAGAAGGTTGCTCCAGCCTGCCCTCCCCAGCCTGCCATGGTACTCTTCAGATGATGGAGTTCGGCAAGTGGGGTTTATTAAGGAAAGAGGAAAAAGGAAAGAGATACGCCTGCATAAGACACAGGCGGAGGGTCATGAAAAGACAAGAGCTGCATTTTGCCAAAGCAAGGGGTGTTTTTACAGTGTTCTTTGACGGAATTATTGTGGATATTATCACCTTGGGGTCAGATTGGATTGGTCTTCTGTGACTAATAATCCTCTCTGCCCCCACCTCTGGCTGATAAACTTTTCTGACCCCACCTCAGATCCCTGGAAACTTCCATCTCTGGGTTTAGTCTAACTCCTTAATCATCCCTACCCCCACTTCTGGTGCTTGTCCTGGTGAGACCTTTCACTGTCACTTTTCTACTTTCAGCTTCCATCAACACCTCAGACGCTTCTCAGGACCAGCGGGTCACCCCCAGTGTGAGACAGCCCCATACTGGGGCTGGGCCGGCCTGTGCTTTGCCTCTTGCATATTTTTATTCACAGTGTGTTTTATATGAACAGCCTATAGTTGAGTCTTTTTTTTTTTTTTTACAAGTTCTGGCAATTTTCTACTGTTAAAAATAGAATAGAAATAGGTACACTCTCCCCAACTGCCCAAGATGGAGTCCTTCATGTGGGGCCCCACACAAAATTAACAGTGTAGGGACAGGATGGGCCACTGAACAGGTTTTCTGATCCAGCAGACGGGGTAAAGGAGAAGAGTCCTGGAGTCCTCGGTGGCTTTTCAGGCTTTTATTGGGATTTACCAGGTACACAGCAGGCAGGGGTGCTGGGGGGCCAGGAGGCTGGAAGGCCTCCCAGGCCCAGCAAGTCTTCACTCTGTCTGGGCTCTCCGGCCTTCTCTCTGCTGCTCTTTTATTCTTCTCTCTGCTCTCTGCTGGCGTCCCCATGACGCCGCCCTTAAAAAGCCCAGTCTTAGCCCAGGTGAATCCCATCTACATATGCCTACACCCTACTCCAAGTGCCAGCCATCAGGCATGCATTCAGGGCCACAGGGTTCCCTCATCTATCCTAATGGCGGGAGGGCAGAAAAGCCTGATACTTTTGCCTTACCCTACAAACAGCTAGTGCAGTTTCAGCCTCTCCCAAAACTGTGATACTAAACCAGTCAATCTGGAGATTGACTGGTCAGTCAGCACCCATGAGGTATTCGGCATAAGACCCCCATGCCTGGCCCTGAAAGAAGGTCTTTACCTGAGATATTCTTTTTTTTCCCCTCCTCCCACTCCTGAGATATTCTTTTCTTTTCCTAATAATCTTGTCCCACTCTCTATCTATTAATACCCACCACTTTGTGTAACCCTTCATAGTGTCTAGGTGGGAGGCTGCTTGATTCCTGAATTGTCTTATAAAGCTAATTAGATCTCTAAAGCCATGGGTTTCTCCAACACTATGTAAGAAACTCTGCTTTGGTTTCCTGCATTGATGCCATTAAAAGGACTCATCTTTTGTGGTCGGGGTATGGGCGGGGGGGGCATTGTTTCGGAAAGTTTAGGTTCCCAGCTTCCTACAGGGTTCAGAACTCAAGAACCATAGGAATGTGCAAACCTGCCTGTATTCCCTCTGCTTACCTGCCCTTTCTCCGGTGCCACTGTCCCAGGAAAATTCCAGGGAAGCAGAGATGTTTGGAACTCTTTCAGACCCTAGTGTCTCCCCTGCACCCAGAATGCTTTTTAGCCCTGCAAAGCCTGCTGCTCACCCCTCCGAGCTCACACAAGCACTTGCCCTCAGAACACCTGGACTCCCTGCTCACCTGTTGAGGGTGTGTCTCTCTGCAAGTCAGTCCATCAGCACCCCCTCACATCTACCAATCTTTGAAAGCCCCACAAAAGCTATGCTTTGGGGGCTGTATGAGACAGCCTAGGTAAAAGAAAATATGAGCCTATAGGATGAGCGTTGCCCCAAGTTCTGTTTGAACAAATGGACTAAATCATGGCTGTCCAAAAATTTGGCCCATGAGGCTGACCATGAGGTGCCATACTAGACAAAAAGCATTAGATTCTGACTAATGAATATCTTACAGTTTCCTGGAGGGAGAAGGCCAAGAGGCCACACGTGCAGTTGGAATTTTAACCATCTGTGTGTGCGTTGGCTTAGGCCAACCCAGAGCAAGCTCAGGCTGCTCTTTTCTGCTCTACACCGTGCCTACCCTTTAAATATTTCCTCCTCACTCCTTTCGAGGAGCCACGCTACCTTCTCCTTTCAGGCACTGGTTCCCTCATGCATGAGTCTCTAAGAAAGCCTTGTCTGGTTCAACTACACCAGCACTGGCTGGTAAATTCTTTCCTTAGAGGACTTAGAGTGCCCCCTACTGGGAGAAGGCCTGCAGAGCAACATGCCCAGAATGCTTCTTTTTTTTTTTTTTTTAATTAAATAATAAATTTTATTTTTATATTCCCCCATACAACTGCACATGCCCCATTCTGACCCCAATCCCTCCCCTCCCGGCCCCCAACCCCCAAAAAGTGTCTCTGGTTCATAGTTTTTTGTTGATTTTGATTTTCACTTTCTTATAGTTATTCATTTTCCTGATCCCTTATTTAAGTTTTCTAGATTCCTGCTATGAGTGAGACCATCCGGTATTTTTCTTTTTCTTTTTGGCTTATTTCGCTGAGCATGATCCCTTCCAGCGCCATCCATGTTGCTGCAAATTGCATGTGTTTATCTTTTTTGAATGCTGAGTAATATTCCATGGTGTATATGTACCACATCTTCTTGATCCAGTCATCTATTTTTGGGCATCTGGGCTGTTTCCAAAGCTTAGCTATTATAAATAGTGCTGCTATAAACATAGGGGTGCAGGTGTTCTTTGGAATTGATGTTTCTGTGTCCTTTGGGTAAATACCTAGGAGTGGAATTGCTGGATCATATGGAAGCTCTATGTTTAGTAGGTCCAGAAATCTCCACACAGCTCTCCACAGTGGTTGGACCAGTTTGCATTCCCACCAACAGTGCAGGAGAGTTCCTTTTTCTCCACACCGTCGCCAACATTTGTTGTTGCTAGTTTTTTTAATATGTGCCATTCTCACTGGTGTAAGATGGTATCTCATGGTAGTTTTGATTTGCATTTCCCTGATTACAAGTGATGTTGAACATTTTTTCATATGCCTGTTGGCCATTTGCATTTCCTCTTCAGAGAAGTTTCTTTTTAGCTCTTCTGCCCATTTTTTGACTGGGTTATTTTCTTTGTTGTTGTTGAGTCTCATCAGCTCTTTGCAGATTTTTGTGATCAGTCCTTTATCATTAGTGTTGGGTGCAAAAATGTTCTCCCAGTTGGTGGGGTTTCTCTTTGTCCAGAATGCTTCTTAGCCCTGCAAAGCCTGCTGCTCCCTGGCCACCGAAGGAGGGTCCCACATGGTGCGCAGACCTCTCCTGCCGCCCGCTGCTCCCCTCAGCAGTGTACTTCGGTCCTTCTGCCTGCTCTGCTCCCCGCTCTGGCTCTGGTGAATTCTCTCACCCTCCCGCGCTTCTGACTGTACCCAGTGCATGTATAAACAAAACAAACAAATAAATAAATAAAACATGCCTCTATATAAAATAAATAAATAAATAAATACAGACACACGTAAGACTGTATGCATAAAGCTGGTGATATCTAAATAAAGTTTATAGATTATACCAATGTTGATATCCAGTTGTGATACTGTACTACAGTTGTTACCTTTGGGGGAAATCTGATGAAAGGTATATAGGCTCACTCTGTGTTATTTCTTACAACTACAAATGAATCTGCAATGATCTCAAAATACAGAAGTTTTAAAAATGTTAATCTCCTACAAATAAGCAGTAAAAGTAAAACTACACCAGCAACTTTACTATGGATGCAGAATTAATGAACTTTCAAATTTGTGTTTTCTCCATTGTTTGATTTGTCGATGTATGCCTTTCATCTGGAGACATAATTAATTTCATTAAATACAAGATGAGTTTCAGAATGGATGCAATATTGGGATAGAGTAGGTAGCCCATGTTCAGACTGGGGCACCTACTCCTCCCCCAAAAGCCTGCTCCTGCTGGAAGCCTGTGATGTCATCAGTGGCTTGGGCTCCAGAACCTCGGAAGCCATTGATCCCAAACACTCTGCTACAGTCTGTGCTCCTTTTGCTCTCCGGTGAGGCTGTGCCCTGGGTGAGTGAGAGAGAGAAAAGGAGGGGTGTGGGGAAGGGGGGCAAATTGGAAAGGATGTGAAAACACAGGGAGGAGATGAGAGCATAAAGCCAGCTCTCAGAGAACTGGGCCTTCTTTGATGGCACCCTGAGAAACTCAAGCATCATGAGGACAGTGGGGAGATGGGGAGGGGAGGAGGGGAGAAGAGGAGGGAATAGAGGAGGGAAAGGAGAGAGGAAAGAGGAAAGAGAGGAATATAAAGAGAGAGGCAGGGCAGGGCGGGAGGAAGAATGCAGAATCCACCAGTCCTGAGGAAGACTGTCCTCAGGTGGGGTAATGGCGCCACCCTTGGGGGGCACCAGGGCTGCCTCAATCAACCCAAGGGCCATCCCAGATAAGCATGGACGATTCTGGCTATATTTTTGCAGACTTGCTTGCCCATTATTTTATAATGGTTCACAAGAATATTTAAGTAGAACTGATGACAAAATGAATGTGTAACATGCTGTTTAACCTGAATAGAAATGTGCCTGAGGCTCATTTCTCAGACACAAGTTCCAGTCCCAGACTCAAAGTGCTCTAGCCATGGTCAAGCAAGTCCTAGACCTAGCCATGGTTTCCTCAGGTAAGTTATAAACCACCCCTCACAGATCTTTTTCAGGACTGAACTCAGTAATTCTTAGTGCCCTGATCAACAGCTGATGTTTAATAGGCAACCAATGACTGTTAGTTACTATTATTGCCATTTTGCCATCACTAGATCTCACAAGAAGCAGGTCAAGCCAAAAGATTCCAGTCAGAATCCAGTCAGATCCCATGGGGTCACCTCCATTTTTTGTACACAGAAGGCAGTATCACCTTGAGCTCCACACCCACCTCCTGAGAGACTCCTGCAAGCCAACAGGCGCCTGCAAAAAAGAAGCAAAAGAAGAGGGTGTGCATGGAAGGGAAGACAGGTGTGTGGGGTCATCTGCCCTTCACCCCAGTCTTTAAGTGAATGAAGGGGATAGACCCTCACGAATTCAAGGGTCTTCCCCTTGACCCACATGAGTTCTGCAGAGGCAGGGGCAGGGTGACCAGGGAGAGACAGGGCAGGCGCTGTCTTGTCACTTGAAAATCTCTATAACTGGAGAATTTCACATTTATCTCCATAGAGGTGTTCTCCAGGCAGAAAGATCCATGGAAAGAGGCACAGGAGAGCAACACATGCCAGGCAAAGAAAGATAAATAATAATCCCCACCATCCCGGACCCTCTCTTCTGGATGCACTGCCCTCCTTTATAGACAAGTGCGAAGGCGGGAGGGGTGACAGTCATTCTCATCCCCCAAGACATCACATGCAAAATCCTCAAGGTGAGTGGAAAATGAAGAGCCCAGTATTTCCCAGGAGGGTCCCTCCCACCATCACTTGGGGTCCTTCCTCTCCCCGCAGCTACTCAGAATAAGAGCCTTCCAGGCTCCTGTTCTGCCTCATCAGAGGCTGACCCTGAGCAGAGAACCAAGAGAAGAGGCCAGAAGAAAATGCTGATGGATGTCAAGGCGGGTATGTGTCCTTGGGCACCCCTCCATTTACTTAGCCCAACCTGAAGGGCCTATTATTGCTGAGCAACCGTTTGTCACCTTGTCCTCGCAAGGCAGGGTCCAGCCCAGGGTAAGCCACAAGGGTAGGACCCAGGATGCCCTAAAGGGGTCACATCCATGGTCATACAAAGTCTTGTACCTGCAGCTGTCCAGGAGGACAACCCCCCAGCTTCCAATGCCACCTCCTCTGAAGCTATCTGTGAGCTCAAGTCCTGGAGGAAGAGGGGGCAGAAGAGAAAAATATGGACCATCAATCATGTTGAGGGGACAAAACTCAGGATGAACAAGAGGAGAAGACCCAGTTACCGTCCTGAAGACCAAGAAGCATTTTACCGACTTCTCGGTGGGTAGCTTGAGCTGTGGGCTGAACGCCCCTCTATACTGAGAATCGCGGGGGCAATGACTCTGGGCTCAACCACCACCTGGGCTCTCATTGGAAGGTGTTCAGGTGACTCCTGAGGAGCTGACAGGGTTTTCCTTGCCAAGACAAGTTCTGGGAGGCATGGAGGAGTAGGAGGAGATCCCAGACATTTCAGAACAAACCAAGGGGTGCATCCTCTCCACGTAGAGATGGTTCATTCATTCCCTCCAGTTAAGACTTCAGAAGTTAGTGATGGAAGACCAAACCAGCTTTCACTGTCTTTATGCTAAAATGGGAGAAGAAACAACAGGGACAGAAATGAGTTGCACTCAGCCAGTGACAAATGCAGAGAATGAATTTTTTTTGTAGAAAGGCAAGCTACCCAGAGATGGGGAATGGGCAAAGGGAGGAAGGCTTTATGAAATGGGACACTCAGGGAAGGTCTGACTGAGAAAGTGTCATCATGACCAGACGCAGGATTGAGTGGGAAGTCTGGGAACCACACTGAGCTCACAAATACAACACCTATTAGTCACCTGTCATTATTTAAGTTGAAATTAATTAAATAAACTTTGAGTCTCACCAGACACATTTCAAGTGCATAGTAATCACATACAAATGGCTACCATATTGCATAGCACAGATTGTAGAACATCTTCCTCATCACAGAAGGTTTGACTGGACAGAACCCATGAGAGCAAGGCTCACTGAAGAAAGTCAGAGACGGAGAAATGACCCAAGGCCCCTCCAACCTCCCTGCTGTGCAAATGTCTGTCCCAGGCTAGGAGTGAAGGATGGCAGGACATGGCATCCTTGGGGTCACAGGAAAATGGCATCTGCAGGGGACAACTCAAGAAGACCCTGCTGGGGACAGGGGATCACATCATCTCCAGGAAGTGAGGGATTCAGGAAAGTGGGGAGCAGCCCAGTCCCAGGAGCTACTCACTCTCTACCACCTGCACAGGGTCTTCAATGGTCAGATGGGACAGGAAATGGCAGTCACGGCATGATGAAGTGACAAGGATATGATGTCATGGAGCCCAAGGCCACATCCAAGTTTTTTACTTGAGATAGAGTTGTTAAATTCTGAGAAATATTAACAGTGACCCCTATGTATGTCAATGGAAGGAACGGAGCTGTTACTGATTTTAAGACTCAGATGCTTCCTGGCAGAAAGGGAAAGGCTTCTGCTCCCTGACAGAGGGGACTCACAGAAAGTTCTGGTTTCCTCCTTCCCTCTCACATGTCACACAGGGTGGGGACCCTCATCACTCCTTCCTTCCTTCCTTTGCAGAGGATCCTGTTATCCAGAGCTTCTTGGAAGCTGATATTTTCCTCAAAGTGTCTGACAAGGTAACTGTAGCACTAAAATGACAAGGGAACAAGGGGTCTGCCGAGTCGCCACCCCATGGGGACAGGTAGAAAATAAGATTTCTGCCTGGGCAAGAGAAGCCCTGGAGACCTGCTCTCACAGTAGAAACAAGAGAGGAAGGACCCTGACCCTGCCCTGCCCCCCGGGCCTCTCCTCCCTGACCTTCCCATCAGCTCATCTCCATATTTCAAAGGGTCCTAAGACCCTAAGCTAGTCCAACCCTGCGTGTCTTTCCCACCATGGCCTTTGGATGGGGGAAAGGCCCGTGGACCTTCCAGAGCACCCTCCCTCTATCCGTTCTGCTCCCCCCTACTCCCCGTTCCTCGCAGTACCTGCTCTCCATGGTGGTGGAGTACTTCGGCCGCGTCGGGCTGCCTGGACACCTCTACAATAGGATCCACTTCTTCCTGGCCCTGTGAGCGCTGCCTCAGGGACTGGCTCTCAGTTCTGCCCAAATCCCTAAACCCACAGCCTCCTCATCCCTTCAGGATGGCTTGGCCCAGGCACCTGAGGGTCCCCATGAGGTTCCCCTTGGCCATAGAGCAGACAAGCCTTCAAGGATCAGGTGGTCATGGGGGAGGGGAAGGTAATGACCAAGGTCCTGAGACAAGGAAAGGGGCCAAAAGACTGAGTGACTGCAGAAGGACTCCCCTAGCAAATGGGGTGCAGGCCAAAACTTGACCTGGGCCCCAAACGTCATGGGCCCTGCAGGCTCAGTGTTGAGGACAGTGCCGCCGTCCCTCCAGACCCATGTCCCACTGCAGACAGGGCTTTCCCAGACCCTCTGTCCTGGATACTCTGCTCTGGGCACTGGTTCCAACAGGGTGACATCTGCAGCCTCTCCCCATTGTCCCACTCAAGACTGGCAGTCGTTGCTGGAACCAGGACAAGCTTCCCCTCTCACCCTGTGGCAGCTACATTGCCTCGGACATGGAGGAGGACAACCCCACATCCAAGAGGAGCATCTTCCAGTTCCTGCTGGGCAGGGAGCACTGGCCCGACCTCTATAAGGAGTTCCTAAAGCTGAAGGTGGAGTTCTTCCAAGCAATGGGGCACCGTGCCTGGGTCACCCCGGAACTGTGTGAGGAGGTCTGTGGGGGATGACGGCCAGGAGGCACACCCCGGGGTTGAGTGGGGTGTGGCCCATCCTCCAAGTTTTCATGTGCCTGTGTTTCGCTTGCAGATCCAGGCCCAGAACCCACATCACTGGGTCTGGAGTCGGGTGCGCCAGTGCACCCCCTAGGTCCTCAAGGACTGGATGGGGCTGCAGGTGGTCCAGGTGAGTGTGGGCACTACCCCCTGTGCCCACACCCCAGTCACCAACCAGACTGGTGAGCGTGAGGAGGAAGCGCTACTGCAAACATTAATGCATATCATAGAAAGGGGTCTGAGAACAACCCTGGGAAAGAAAGTAACTGCCTGCGTCTGTACCAAAACCGTGCAGGTGAATTTGGTTATAGAATCACATACCCTGCAACATAAGGTCTGAACATGCATGTTCTTTTGTTTGTTTTTTAGGAAAACTCTTGGAAATGCTGTTCTAAAATGCAGTTCTAAATCATGAAAACCTCTGCAGGGTTTTGATCTGAGTTGAAAATTTTAAAACACAAAGACATGGAAAACACTGAGTTCATCCTTTCTGGAAAAGGGGCCGTTGCCATGGCGGCTCTTGGGAGGAATGAGAAAGATAAATTCCAACTTGTCATCAAAAGTTTTGTGTGTTTTGCTCCGACGGGAAGCAAGCTACACTAAGCTGGGCCCTTGCAGGATGAGTGCGAGGCATGGTCTTGTCACAGACAGGGAATGCTCCTAGGGCTTGCTGGTCTCTGAAAAAATAAGAATGCTGGCAAAAAAGGAAAGAAGTACATACAGCACCGTGAGGAATTACATAACAGATAACACACTTCTAGAAAACCACCTGCCTGCCATCATGCTCATTAGTATGTGCTTTCTCTGGTTTAAATGTGGCTTTTATATTTGGATGTAGCTGAAGTGGGGGCAAACCTCCGTGAAATGCAAAAGGAGCCCTTTGCCTGGGTAGCCAGTTGTACCAGGATAAATCTGCGCCTCACTGCAGGGTGATGGAGCAGATGCTGACCCCAGGAAAAAGAAAAGAGAGAGGAAAGCAGGCCAATTGTGCTCTGAGATAAGTCAAGTTTGGTAGAACATTTCATTCAACAGGTGTGTGTGCCTGAGTGTGTGTGTGTGCATCTGTGTGTGTTTGGTTTTTTTTTTGAAGGCCAGGAACAACAGTCTATGTCAGAAATCTCAGAATTCCAAAGAAAAAATCCATTTATCACAATAAAAAAAAGGAAAGAAAAATTGCAGTGTCTGGGTCCCTCTTGGGTCCGTGACTTCTCCGCACGAGGACAGCAGATCATCCCTGAGCTGCTTTTCCATAAGTACTACGTGGTCGGGGGGGACTTTCATGCTGCTCTCTTAGGACTTTCTCTCTCCTCATAGCTCCCTCCCCCTGAACCTGCTGCTTTCTTCCCAGGCTCCTTCAGTGCAGGGGCAACATCCCCCCAGCAGGCCTCAGATCTGAAGGGCCTCAGACCTCTGTGAGTCCACAGAGCTGTTGGGGAGAAACCTGGGGCTGCTTGGGTGGTCACTACCACAGCGGCTCTGAGGTTGGCACCTTCCAGGTGAGTGGGTGCAAGGACTATGAGATTGCAAGAGGAAAAAAAAGATTTGCAGCCTCAGAGAACAACTGATGATTTGATGACCCTTTGAAAAGGAAAGTGAACAGCACTGGGAGCTCAGTAGAGATAACAAAGAGGCTAGAAATTCCATAACAAAGCCTAGGGTAGACCTAGTGATGAGTGGTTTTGTGGGACTTAAGTATGAGACTGAATGCACATCTGAGTTGCTCAAGATCCCAATCAGAAAGGGTACTGATGTACATTAGCAGATGGTGGGGGGATCACTTGGAGCAGAAGATGGCGAAGCCCCTGAAAACTTCCAGAAACTCAAGGGGGAGGGCACCTGTCCCTGCTGGCACTAGCTTCCTGCAATGAGGTGTGTGCCATCTGCCCTCCTGTCTGCCTATAACTGCCCAGGAGAGGAAGGGCTTTGCTGCCTCTTCACCCCAGTCAAATGGGTCTCGCCCACTATTGGCACACTCTGACTTGGCCCCAACTGGGATATATGGTTAAGAGAGAAGAGCAGGGGGTGGAGATGCTGAATAGACATCCAGCCCATGCACAGGGGACAGTGAGATGACCCACAAATGAACTTGTGCAGCAGAGAGGGAGTTTGGAGCAAGGGGACACAAGATGCACCCACACTTTCTTCTGAAAATTTGCAGAAATTTCGAGTGAGGGTAGGCATTCCTCTCCTCCAGATCTCTAGGGGCAGAGAATGCAAATAGGGATGTTAATGATTCTTCCTTCAATTCCTGAGCATTTACCCACATTTCCAGTGGATGAAATTATCTTTTTCATCTCTGAAATGGTATAGCAAACTTAAAATATTCTTGGCAAGTGAAAGATATGCACTAAAATGAACACAAGACAAATGACAGAAGCACAAGTGGCTCTAACTAGTTTCGAACTGCTGTTTCTGTGATGAGTGCCCCAAAGTCGTGACCATGTGGTTCATGTCCCAGCACATCCGGGTTCTGAAAGTACGTGCTCAAGGCTTCCCACCCCAGAGAACCTGACTAGAAGTCTAGACAGCTCCACTGGCAACAAAGACATGGCCACATGTCTCACACGTAAGTACTGGAGTAAAAGTAGTGGAAATGATTTATAGATTTTCATTGATTTTACTAAGCACTATAAAATTATTTTTCTAAATTTCTTATTTCATTTTATAATGAACCATGAAATAGGAAGAAATATTTCTAGAAAAAATAATTCTAAGATTGTTATCATGTGACCAAGACAACAATACATAGCTAATACAATTCATTTCATCACAAGAAATTACACAAAGGCTTTGGGTTTTCCAAAGATTCATGAAGAAATGAAATTGTCTGCTTGTTTAAGGTGTTCATAAATTCTGCCTGGTGCAATGTCCTTCTAACTTAACATTTCATCTACCCCCTCCTGAGTATCTATTGGGTTAGGAAGAAAAGCAGTCATGGACCAGGCACAGGGCAAAAACAGTATGGTTTGGGGCCCAGACTTGTTATGTTGGGAAGTGGTACAGCCTGAGCCAGCCAGGAGTGTCAGCTTAGAATGGGGGCAGGACCAGGTGGCGCCCACAGGTCCTCGGTGAGTTTCACACAGCTGCCTGATGTAGGGGTTCTCCCAGCCTGAAGGTCAGGACCTCTGGGCAGTCCCCTCCTCATCCCAGCCTCACTTTCATTCAAGGTCATACAATAGAGCAAAGCAAGAGGAGGGGAGCAGGCAAGTCCATCCTAATCCACACGCAAGAATTAAGGATATAATTTGAGGGCCTTTTATCAAAAAAGATTTTCTGCAGCTGTGACTATAATGAGAAGCAAGCAACGTATTTCAGAATAGGGGGGAACCTGGTTGGCCCTCAGAAGCAGGAAGATGGTCATTGGAAATCTCTGTAAAAACAGCATGGGAAACTTCAGGGAGGGTAAGTTCTGACAGAGGCCTGGGGCCCAGGGAACACCTTCTAGAGTAGCCACTTCTCCCATCTCACCTCAGTTTCCTTCTCCTGTTGGTTGAAAATTAAGACACTAGGGGTACAGAGGTGACCAAAACCTGCCCTTTCTCTCACAGTTTAATTGAATAGAATCTTCATGCATTAAGGCTTTTTGCACAAAATTTATTAGAATGGGGGTATCACAGAAGAGACCCCCAAACCTTTAAGAACGGCAACAAAGTCTTCCCAGTTTGGGTATCAAGTTGGCCCATGGGCTTTAGTTCATCCAGCTCATCCTCTCCTAGCTTTGGCCTTCTCCTGTCCCTCAGTTTGAGTTCTGGCACAGGCATTCCTCAGAATCAACATATATCCATTCCTCTGGCAATTCGTGCCTCAGCTCCCACATACTCTGGCTTTAACTCTGTATCCTGACGCCCACACACTGGCCTGTCTGTAGAGCAGGCACGTGGCCTCCCAACCAAACGAGGTTGCACACTGGCCCTCAAGCTGAGCAATGAGCCCCTCGTCTTTCTTCCTTCCTCTAGGATGTCAGATCCTCTGAGTTGCAACAGGACCTTCACCATAAACTGTAAAGTTGGTTGATTTCTAAGAAAGGGTGAAAAGTTGCATTAATCAAGCAAGATTAAGCAACAAAGGGGAAGTTCTGTAGGGCTTCGCCAAATGGTCTCCTCCTGCTAAGGCTTGGCTCTATGCTTCAGAGATGCAGACAAGTTCATGTGTTCACTCCTTTCTAAGACACTCATGGAAGGAGCACAAATGTCAACATCCAGCAGGGAAATAACCTGAGTCTATGTGTGTATATGTGACTATACTGTTTCTTTAGATATGTCCATTAATGGAAGCAATGGATATGCATTTCTATTTGTATAAGTAAAAATGACAGATGTAGGAATTAGCAGTAAATTAGAAACCACACTGTGACAGGTACTATTACCCACCAGTGTCTGGTTCTCCTCCCCTCATAGACATACTTTTGTGTGGTGGAGCACTTTGACAACTTCCTGCCAACAGGCCATAACTGCAAGTGACCTGTGCCACTGCTGGGCAAGGCTCTTAAGAGCCAGATGTGTTTCTTTAGCCATTCCTCTGCCATGAATCTGAGGTTGAAATGTTCAGGATGAAAAAAAAAAAATAAATAAATAAATAAATTAAAAAAAAAAAAAAAAAAAAAGAAATGTTCAGGATGGTGAGAATCACAATCTCAAGTTTTTGAGAACCCTAGGTAGCTGGAATTAATTTGATACACCTAGCATGTCTGCTTAAGAGAAGAATGCCCAGAAGATGCCCTTTGCTCCGTATAAAGACAGTGCTGTTTCCACACCACCTGCCATCTTACCTCTTTCTCATAAAGCCTGATTTTTGTTTTTGTTGACAACATTCTGATGACTGTCCCCCCGCCCCCGTCATGTATGAGAGTGCATCTGTGTATAAATAACTCACTTAAGTCATTCTTAAATCAGAGAAAAGCATTCAAATCATAAACAATTGAGAAGGAAAATAGCAACAGTTGCCCAGATACTGAGTTCTTTCATCTTGATTCAAATGGAATTTCCAGAATCTCATTTGTTTTTTATTTTCCTTTACCCTTGATTAGAAGAAAAACTACTGTGAAAGGAAGCACATTTTGTCCTCCTGGTCAGCCACAACTAGCCTATCTTCACACGCAGGGAAGGGCACTGGGGCCATCATGCAGATGGAGTACTGAGTTTAGAGGAACATTCTGCTTGTAGATGTCTTATAAATACTAGCTCTTCTCAGAACAAATACCACATGGGCTTTTGCCAAAATCTCAATGGAAACATTTCCATTTGCTTTAATTTTTATTTTTAAAGCTAAACACCACAATTCAAGTTGTCAAATGTGCAATCATTGGTTAAATCTTGCAACTTCTACCAGCTTATGGTCCTACTGGCTGTTTAGGAGGCACTGGATACATGTCAGAGGCTGGACAGCAGGGCGCCTTCTTCGATGGAAATGAAATGTCTTTCATTTTAAAATACAATTTCAAAAGACCTTGCTTTAGTAGAAGTTTCTTATTTCCTCCACTTACAGCAGGCATCCTGCTAGGCAATTCTTCATTACAGTACAAATCTGTTTAATGTAATCACACTCTGAGGATGTCTGGCACTGCCACAGAAG